AGGCCACCAACCACAGCTGTTGGCTAGTGAATGTGTATACACACACATTCATATCTAAAAAGTATACATAAGTGTTAAAAATTGTGGAGAAATCTGAATTATAAAAACATAGTCAATTTGAAAGGTTGATACATGAATGAAATTATTCTTTGTCTGTATACAATTTCAGTACAATCCAGAAACAAAAAGAGCCGATTTCTCTCTCAATGTGCTATTCCCTTATTCGAATATTCCCATTCATGCCTACTTTGAGTCCTCACTTGTGAGAGTATAGTTTCAAAGGGATCTGAATGTTCTAAGACATATTCAAGTTGCGGATGAAGTTGAGAACATTTAGGGTTTGCAGAATTAGGAGTTACTAATGGTTTTTAAGTGTGAATGTTAACTAGCAAATAGTTGGAATTAGCATTAGGAGGTAGGGTCCAGACCCTGGCTTTGTGACCTTGGACATGGTACTTAATGGGTGTTTGTGAAGGAAGGGACTTTGTTTTCCTTTTCTGGACACACCCACATCCACCTGCTCACACCATCCATCCTACTTCCAAAGTCGTATGCTGATCATCTCTGACGGGAGGCCTTGCCTGCAGGGTAGTGGAGGACATGGAAACTTTTCCGGCACTGTCCCTCGGTCAGTGTGGGAGTCTGCTAGTGGCTCTTTCCTTAGAACTCAGACTCAAGTGTGACCCTCTCAGGTTCTCTGATATTGGACCCACTGCCAATGGTAAGGGTAACGAGAAAGGACATTTTTAAAGAAGAATCAAAGAGCACATGGCCAGTGGTGTTCGCAGTTGGCTGTCTGGAGGGGGCTGGATCCCCTGTGGGCTCTTGTCTGGCCTTTCACCTCCCACCCTGAGCAGGCTCCAGCTGACTCCACAGCTCCTCAGATCTTTCTGCCACCTTCTCCCTCCTACTGAAGCTCCAGAGTCAAGGTCCACAGGCTGCCCTGGGCCCTCTTGTTTGCAGACTGAGGAGTTCTAACCTTCCCTTCGACATGAGCCAGACTATGGACATTGATATGACAAAGCTTTCGTGATTTAGGAGTGGAATCTCCACATATAACCCTGCTGAGAAGAGCCTTGGCTTCACGTCACCCACACAGCCACTTACACCCGAAGAGGGGACGGGTCATGCTTTCACACTGATGTGCACTGACAAAGACAATTTATGTTGGCTAGAAAAAGTTACTTTTTCGTCCTTTTTTCTGTACTAGGTGGGTTGAACAACAGTGATGTCTGTATTTATTCATAGGACTGCTGCTCCCAGGAGAGGATAGAGCAGGTGGTGCTGGAAGCCTGGTTTACAGAAACAGGAGGTGTTCAAGAGACTGCAGAGAAAACTGAGCTTCAATTCTGTCAGGAGGCAACCCCGTTACCATAGACCACTTACGTGGGTAGGGCTGACCAGCCTGCATCCCTGACCCACGGCTGTCCCTTTTCAGGGAAAGCCCACATATGTCAGAGAACATACTAAGTTCATGATCCCTTCATCCATGTTCTCTAGATAATCATGCAATGAAATTCAGAAGTGTTAAATCTGTAATAGGGCCAACTAAATGTAAGAGGTCTATATACTCACACTTGAAGGAAAAAGTCTACCTTCAGTTAATGTGAGCGCAGTCTCCAACAAGCAGTGTTGCAGTCTGTCGCAAGTGTATTGGATGTTTCAGTTTGCCAGACCTGTCATGATAAATTAATTACAGGATGTTGCAGAAGTGGCAGGCCTCCAGCAGCATCTTGCATAGTTTAATATAGACCTATTTCCCCATTTCAATGTATTTGTGGTTAGATAAATCCTCTGAAATTTACAGCTGCTATAGACTAGCTTATTATGTACTCAGCCTGCACACATGATAAGTATAAGAATTTGATGTTCTTAAAAGTGCATAGATTCTAATCGCTTTTTTTTTTTTTACCACCATGGAAATAGTTGCTAAAAGGAGCATCTACAGATATTTTGAAGACTAACTTTTATGTAATAGGCAGTGATGGGTAAAACTGCTACTGCACTTAGCCATTTCCATTGACTTGAGCTGAAGAATTGTAGCTCAGAAAAAAATATTATGAGGAACAACGACACAAAATGGCCCTGTGAAGAAATGTAATAGAAAAGAGAACAAAGTTAACTGCTACTCAGCTGAAAACACTGAAAAACTAAACTGAAGCTGCTAACTTCTCTCCAGGGAACCTTCTTCCTTTAGTCTTGCGCCTTCTTTTCGCAAGTGTCAGTTGCTCATTTTTGCTCTGGCCAAGTTATTTTCTTCAACGTCTTGCTTTCTTCTTCTTTTCTTTTCCTATTGTACTCTATTCTCCCTTAGCTCTTTATCTTCTTTAAGCAAACAATTTGCACCTCTCCAAAAATCTTAAGAACTCTTTTGGTAATACATCAATTTACTTACCTAAATGTTGAAAAAACAATTTTAATTTTTCTATTATATTTGTTCATAAGTTCTTGGTAAGGCTCAAGTAATGATTAAAAAAATGAGTTTGGTACGTGAAAACTGCTTCTTAGTGCTTTGAGAAATAACACTGGTAGATGGCGTCAGAGCATTTTTATCTACGTGATTAAAGAAGGAACATGAGTTAAACATAGTACATATATTTATGACCTCTTTTCTTAGATTGAGGAGAAATTAAAATTTCAGATTCTTTGTGCCACTTTCCTCCGAAATCCCTGCCCTCCTGCCCCCTAAGCAGTTTGAATTCAAGGTGCTATAAGAAAGAGTAACGTCAAAAAAAGAGTGCTCACAACATATGATTAATATAAATTTGAAGGGGATCATCAGAAAAATCGTATTCATTGTGTTTACAAAACAAATGTTTTTATGTCATCCAGTTCCTGTCTTAGCTTAAAGCATTTCCCCCCATTCACCTTAATAATTAGAGCAGAAGGTTATGATGAATGAAATGCCTCATTACCAAGTTTGCTTCCCGGGTCTCTGCAAAGGGGAGCTGTCTGCTTTGGCCTCGTAAGCCCATTGTTAATCCTAAGCAATGCTGACATTCAATTCTACTGCAGATAATTGGGCCCGTCCATAGATTGAGTTCTGCAGTCAACAGGCTTTTGATTGACATGCTTCTTGATTTTTTATTATCTCTTATATGACTGGAATGGCGCCTTTTCTGTTCCTTGAATAAAATGTTACTGTACATATAATTAGTTTGAGTCTATAGAACCTACTTCTTAAGGAAACAACAAAGCCATAATGCAGAGTGAAGACTTAGCTGAAATAATCACTCGATAAAGAAATGATGAGGTTTTTGAAAAATATTTTCCTTCTGATACTTTTTTCTTAAGGTCACTGTTGCATTACAAACTGTATTAGATATTTCTAGTCCTTGGTCACAGTACATTCATGATGCTTCTTCAGCTACTTTTGTGTGTGAGTCTGCAGCTATAAGCATTTACTGGCTTTCACTGCGCAGCAACTGAGGTACAGTATTGCAGAGGTTTCCTGGTGGGTCTGACAAAGCTCCACTGACACCTAGCATTGACATTTACTGGCCCCGTGCACCTGGGCAAGTTCCTTCATCTTCAGAGACCTGGCTTTCTTATTTGTAGAATAGGGAGCATTTTATAGACCTGTGTGTTTTGATGCAAAGAGTAAATAAGAGCCTGATAATGATGTGAATATTCTTGGCATTTACGTTCGATTAAGTAGACAATGAGACTAGATAACCCTCCAAATTTGGATTGTTTAAAAATGTTCTCATAACGTACTTAAAGCAGACACAGGCCTCTGATAGAATAAAGTGTAAGGGGCTGAAGTTCAGCCCCATTTTTGGAACACCTGCTTATCATGCTGAAGAGCCAGCAGTCCTGGTTCCAGTTCATGCCTTTAGCTCCCTCCCAGTATAGGCCATGAGAGGTGCAGTGATGGGACCATGGGGTTCTGCCACCCATGTGGGAGATCTGGATAGCACTCTTACTTCCCAGATCTGACCCTGAATAAACTAAAGACTCAGCTGAGTACTGGGTTCCTATTTCCCAGCTTTGACCCTGTCTCAACAGCAGCTCTTGAAAGCATTTGGGGAATGAATCAGCAGATGGGAGGTCTCAAATAAAAACTTTAAACAAGAATGGCTTTCAGAAAGCTCACAGAAAATGTGTACCATGAAAAAGCTATGCATGGATTTCATCTTTTATACCAGAATAAATTTATCTTCTTTTTCTCCACACACTTTTTGAAGGCCCTGATACATAAGTGTAAAGATCACAAAATTTTGTTATCTAGAACTTTCTAACCATCTTAAAAATATTGGAGTTACATATATAAAGTGACATATCAAATAAAACCATAAAATGGTGAGTTATTTTTCAGATACAGCCTTGCAAATAAAGAGAAAACGTGTTTCTTAAATTAAAACTTTTCTATACCCTAAAAAATAAAAAAGTAAAGCCAAGTATTTAATGCAACAGAAACTCTACACAAGAGTTGAAACACTATAAAGAGAACTTTCAAAGGCCTCTGCTTCATTAAAAAATGTGTACTTTAAACATGAGCTTGTATTCTTAGTGTAAATATTTTGTTTTGAATCATTTGAGAACTTGATTATATTCTATATTGTAAATCCTATTCATAGTAGAGATCTGAGACTGAAGAAACCTCGATCTTCAAGACAAGGTAGAGCTGAATCAGTAATTAGGAAATGTATCTCTATAAATGGTTTAAAACAGCTGTTCAGATATAGGAGATAGTGTCAAGCTGTCATTGGTTTGGGAAAAAGGAATGATATGACATGAATATTTAAAGATAAAGCACGAGCAACGTGTTACTAAGATAATGGTTCAGTTCCGTGAACCATGTAATGGGCTCTGATACTGGACTGTCTGCTTGATTATAACTGGACCCGTTTGCTACCTAGAGGGCGTTGTGTGATCTGTTCCCCCACTCATCTCAGACAGCATAACTCTGGTCTTGGTCAGCAGGACAAGGGCCTTTTCTAAAAACAAGGCCTTATGGAAAACCAGACTTTCCTTAGGCTTGCTTCCCCTGTGATTTCCTTTTGTCTTCTGTAGTTCCAACATTACAAATAATCCGTATTTTTTTTTTCATATGGACATTGAAATGTTAGCAAATGCTTAGTTTTCCCTATACATTCACACTGATTTAACTATTTCTCTAATGTGTGGATACTATTTGTAATTAAAACCAAAGCCAGAGATTCAAGACACATCTTAAAATTGCAAGCTGCAATGGCAGAGAGAAGTGTATTTTATTTTTAAATTATCAAGTGCATTCACAAGACAAAAACAAAAACAAAACCAAAAAAACACAAGTTTGTACAAGGGCAACTAAAGCTGGCAGGGCCCAGCTGTACCTGAAGTAGACACAAGCACCAGGAAACACGACATCACAAGAGACCCCCGTGCTGATGGCTGCAGCGCGGGCACCATCACCAATGCCACCCAACACTTTTAGAAACACTTCTTTTTTTTTAAAGTTGCACGCAGCTGGGTTATGTTTATCAATGTCTGTGCCCCTTAGACATGTGCAGGGATAGGGGCCAAATATGTTTTTACTAGGAGATATTTCACGTGGGGTAGACACACATCTGGTCAAAATTTACACCTCAGTGCCCAACACTGCCTTTCTCACTTCTTATTTTAATAGACTCAATTGTCTAGTTTAGTAAGTTACTTTTCCAACTGACACTTCTGTGTCAGTTTTGACTTTCTGGGAGCTGAACATTTTTATCAACAGAATTATCACAAAATAGGGAAAGGAGAAGACCGAAAGAGAAAAAAACAAAAACAATAATTTCCTTATTGTTTCCAACTGCAAAACACAGTCACACAGGGATGACACTGTTATCCAGGCACTAAAGAAATAAATAAATGTAATACTTTAAAAACAAATAGTGACACTAAAATATTAAACAATCACACTCTATAAATTATTTTATGCTTAAATATGAAATGCCTTATTTAAAATGTAAGGGAACTTGGGAACCTTTTGTCAATCCAGCTTAAAAAATAATTTTTGGTTTAGGTGTGCCATATTACATGTATGAGTCACTGAAAGGAACACAAATTTCAATTCTAAAAAGCAGATGGTTTAAAAAAAAGCAGATGGTTTTAATGCCTTTGTTACTGGAATCAATTGGAATGCACAATATTATGAAACAGCTTGTCTTTTAAATAAAGGTAATTTTAAAGGCAGGTATTTCATATTCTGAGCATAACATTCATATAGGTAACCACATTACAAATACAATATTAAATGATTACTGAACAGACACCCTAACAATGCAAATGCTTTTTATTCATATTTGCTAAAGAGCAATTATGGTTTTTCTTTATTGTTTCTTTGACAGTGGTAGTGTAATTTTGACGCAATTACTAAAAATACAAGTACCAATACTTTGATCAACATCAATCACAATGGGTTGTAACAGTTAAGCTTGGAGGCCACATTGATTTTTCCACCTGTTTCTCACTTCTGCTTTGTCTATATGCTTTTGAAAGGAGACAAGTAATTGATGCTTCCTTTCTTCCTTATTATCTGAAAATTCTGAACTCTGGAGAGAAGTTCAATATGGTTTAACCTGTCATTTCATTTCTGTGTACTTGCTGTGTCTCCATTCTTCTTTAACTTTTCACTAGGGAGAGAAGTATGCGAAATGAAGTAAGAGTACTTGAACACCAGCTTCCTACAATCAATGCATGGTAGTAAGAGACAGTGTGTCTCTTTCACACACAAACAAGACATATAATTCTCAAATACTTACAATCCAACTCCTGAATAACTTCCAGAAATTAAAGGTAGGCCATCATGGCATCTACAGCATTTGTTAAACAGCATCATTTCGCTTAATCCACTTTTACACTAGGATTAATGATTACATTTTTCAAACCAATCTAAAATCAGTTCAACAAATTTTTGATTGATCAAGATAGTGATGGCTAACTATGCATTCAGATATAGTTTTGATGCAAAGCAAGTACAAATTGAGAACTAATATGTGGATCAAACTATGAAGTTGCTTCCTTAGAGATCATGTAGTCAGTGCACTACAACTTATAGGTGATAGACAAATGGGCTGAACTTGAAGCTTCTACTACAAGTACTAACCCAGCATTGATAGTGTCTGGAGTCTCACATGGAAATGTCACTGGTTGCCCTTAGGTGTCAACCTGCAACTTTGGGACAATGGCAATCTGGTTGTGGTGGTCAACTCCAGTCAGTACTCCAGTGAAAGGAGATGCTGGCCTACTGGCCAACGGGCAGTGGCTGACCCTCTGCTAGGGCTCTCCTTGAGGGCACTGTGGATTAGAGATCACTTGAGCCTTTAGAGAACAGGTCAGTTCTAATCATAAAGCAATGATTATGCAATAGTATTGTGCATACAAGAACAGGTACTTTTGACAGGAAACAATCCTTAGCTTACAGGTTCTGACTCTGTCACATAAGCTCATATACACAGGTCTTCCCGGGTTGTATGAGCAAAGAGTTGGATTGGAAGCGGAACAGCCAGGATGGGTGTTACAAGTGGTGGTCTAACTTGCTACACAAAAATGCCCACCTCTCCTTATTTTTTTTTTTTGTTTGCTTTTTTATCTATCTCTTTAGGAATCCTTTAAAAACATTGTACATGCATCTTTCGCTACCTTGTCTACTAGTATTTTTTTTCCTTGTTAAATTCTTAGAGCTTTTTAATAAAAGAGGCATTTATTTATTTATTTGGAGGAGAGCGAGACAGAGAGATTGGGAGAATATCTTTTGGTTCACTTGTAGAATGAAAATGGCAGAAACAGGCAGGGCTTGAACAGGCTGATGCCAGGAGCCAGAAACTCCATCTGGGTCTCCATGTGGATATCAGGAACTCAAGCCCTTGTGCAACCTTCTGCTGTCTTCCCAGGAACAATCATAGGGAGACAGACAGAAATGAGCAGCTCAAATCTGATCCAGGTATAGCAGATGACAGCTTAGCTCGCTGAACTATATATATAATGCTGGCTACTTTTATATCCTAAAGATAATAATTCTTTATGTGACATTCTCCCCCATGCCAGGTTTTTCTTTTCCTTCTCTACACGAGTGATTTTATAGCTTCTATGTATAAGAGTCTAAAATTCGATTTCAAAAGTTTTCTGACCCTGATGTCAAGGCTACAGTTATTTCTTAACCCATGACTGCTATATTAACCGCTCACCTATATGCCTTGTGTGCAATCAGATTTCTTTATTTCTTTTCTTTGTTCCTTCCCCCCTCCCCTCTTTCTTTCCCATTTAAACCTAAAAGAATATTGGTGAAAATTTGGAACTCAGTTCTTACACAGCGGCAAATTAATAAATATGGATGTGAATTGGGCTGTTAACATTCCACTTGTATAATAATAAATTTCATTTCAACATAACAAAATAAGGCCTTCTGGAAATATTTCCCTGTTTTCTCATATCTCTAGTCCCTATCATAAAATGGTTTTTCAGCCACATTTCTTCCCTGACTTGCCCTGTTTTGAATTCTGATCCCATGTATTTCCTCATGTAACGGCTCCTTTTCCTTCCTCCTCTCACTACTCATCCTTACTTTGTACCCACTGTCCTCTGTTTCTCACTAGTTGTTGCCCCTTTTTTTCCTTCAAATCTAAAGTCCTGGTTTTTTTTTCCCCCCCTTATGTTTTAGAATAAAATTATTCTGAAGCACTTTTCTCTTCAGGCTGGCGACCATGTGCTTTATGCTTCTAGGAATCTCCTAGGCCTCCTGGGTGTTAATCCCAAGGGTACTTGTCAGTCTGTATTTCACATCTCTCTTTTGCACCTGTCATTATTGACCACGCATCCCTACATGTTTTCCTGTTGACTGAATGACGTAACTTCCTCTTACCTCTATTAGGGTGACTTTTCGGCTTGTTTGTTCATTCTTCTTACCCTGTGTATCCAGTTTGTGCCCACGGTCCTCCTGGCTCTGTTCTTTGCCTATTTCAGAACTACAGGATGGTAAGAACAGAGACAGGAGCAAGTTAGAAAGCTATTTTAAGAGCATACAACAGGGCTTTGATCTCAGGAAGTGGCAATGGGAACAGAATGGAGGATGAATAGTAGGTTCAAGAAAGAAAAGTAGTTAGCAGGACAAAATAAATGATTACATATGGGGGTGTGAAACACCAAGTTACTTAAACTAATGTAAAGATAAACCTTTAGGTGGGGTGGGCACAATAATAAAACAAACTTTGCCAGAATATTCACTGTTGGGAAAAACCAGAAAGCTTTAGAAATGTAGGTGAGGACACACACACACACACACACACACGCACACACACACACACACACACACGCACATCTCTAGACAAATACAGGATATTTCTTAACAACAGAGAAAGAAGTGATGACGTTTTCATATTAGAAAGCTGTGACATCATGATATGTGAGAAAGCCTCATTGCCTACTACACAGATCAATGCGATCTTCTAAGTGATAGTAACTCATAAAAGAAATGTTTTGTGGATGGGGATGTAGTAGTACAATTACTTTAGGAGAAAGAAAACACGAAAACAATTCAAAAGGGAAAGAATGGAAGGTGATTCTCTTTTCTCTAGCTTATGCAGAAATAACAGAAAACACCAAAAATAAGCTCAAAAAAGACGCACAAGTCATAAAGTCAAGTAGTAGGACTGAACAGAGATTCTAAAAGATGAAACTGTACCCTCCCACCCTCACCCCAAATTCATACGTTGGAAGTCTTAACCCCAATGCGACTGTATGTGCAGACAGAGTCTCTTATGATGGTCATTTGAGTTGAATGAGGTCATGAAATGGGACCCCAATCTGATAAGACTGGCATCCCTGGAGAAGGAAGGCACACCAAGTTTGCTTACACTGCTTCTCTCTGTGTACACATGGAGAAGAAGTCAAATGAGGGCAGTGTGAGAGTAGGTAGCCACCTGCAAACCTGGGAGATGGCTTATCAGAACCCAATCCTGCTGACACCTTGGGTGTGCACTGTAGCCTCCAGGCCTGCCATATCCTGGTAGCCCCAGCAGATTATTACAGGGTTGCATAAGCAAGTAAAATGAAGTCAGATGGGTGAGAATAAAAAGGTGAGAAATGACTGAGAGAAAAGAACAAAGAAATTACATTTAGAAAGAAATAGAAAAGGAAAGCTCAAGCTCCAAGAGGAAGCCCTGATAATTCACAATCTTTATCTGTCTAAAGTCCATTCTTCAGCCTTATCTTCGAGGAACCTATGCTTTGAAGTAAAGACTCCAGCCCTGTGGATATCAGCATGATAAAGTGAAGAAGGGAAACAAGCCCAGTATAGCAGAACAGGGACACTAATGTGACAAGCTGGGGCAAGCTGAGGAGGTGAGCAGTCTATGGCCTCCACTCCAGGGGACGATCCCGGAAGACAACGTGCAGCTCCAGCCTGAGACTTTGCATCCTGTTTCAAGACAAGTCAGAAATCTCTATTCTTTTCTGTGGATTCACTTATACGATACAAATACACACACATAAAACATAAAATTAAACACATATGCACAAAGAAGAACACAGCCACAGAAGCATGTCCACAGGGTATTCCATGTACTTTCACACCTTTGTGCCTTAGCTCCTGAAAAGGCACACAGGATGTATGTATTATCATAGCAGATTTTCAACAAGCCTTGTACAGATTAGGGGAAACGAAAGGAAGAGACCTTCCTCTAGTGGCCAGGTGAAATCATAGAGCTAATGAAGCATTTAGGTCTAGGTCTTTCTTTTCTTGTGCATCTCATCTTTATATGGTCTTAGAGACTTCGGTTACAGCCATGTTGGAACAACATGGACCAGATCTGTCTTTTCATCTACAACAACCAAGAAACCTAGGTAAAATATATGAAACAGTCATTCTGGAGATACTAAACCCAAGGCAATAACAGAGAGTGATCCATGCAAGATGGGAAGTAAGGGGAGTGCAAAGGTCACCCAGCTTACTGCTTTGAGCTTTTTCAGACGACATTGAAAAGTGACCCAGTGAGAGCTGAGTCTCAGGAGATCACGGTGGCCAGGGTCCACAAAGAGAGTAACTGGGAAGATACTCAGGGGAATGTGAAGATCTGCAAAGGGTCCCACTTCAAAGCCTCAGTGAGAGATTGAAGAGCACAGGCATTTGAGGAAGTCACTCAAGGCCAGGGAAAGCATCTATTCCAGCCAGCAATGAGTAGGAACAGTCCTTGGTGAAGTCCAGAGATTGGACTTAACTAGACAAAGACTTGAAATTCACAACTACAAGTATGTTAAAAGAAACCACAAATTTAATATCTCACTATACACAGAAGAATTTTTCAGTAGAAAACAGAAATTACAAAAAGTAGTATGAAATCTACCAAAGTATTCAGAGAATTGGGTCATAATCTACCTCATTCCAGGAGGCCGGCATTTTCCTATGGCCAAAAGCAAAGATACTACAAGGGAAGAAAACAATAGACTCATCCTCCTCATTAACAGAATGCAAAAGATTCTGAACCACATTTTAGTGAATAAGATTTAACAACATGTAAGAAGGTGACATACCAACTGCTGAATGTGGTTCATCCTAGGACAACATGATTAGTTTAGCATTAGAAAAATAAATGCAATTAAAAATATTAATGAATTTTATAAAGACTCATTCCAAGAACCCTACAAATAGCAAAAATCTGAGAATATTCAGCTCCCTCTATAGTCAATGAAATAGGTGTTGTAATTCTCTTACGTACTTCAAGTCATCTTTAAACACTTGTAATATCTAATAATGTAAGTTCTGTGTCAATGGTTGCATTGTTCCAGGAATACTGCCAAGAAAAAACTCTACATATGTTCAGCAAAGTTGTTTTTTATTTTCTTTTCAACTGAAAAACTTTGGCTTACCCTTGACTGCATCTATGAATGTAGAACCTGGTGATACAGGGAGCCGACTGTATTTAATAGATACAAAAATCATTCAAAAATCTAACATCTATTCCTGCTGAAAAGTCTCTGCAAAGTAAGAAATGAAGAAAAAGACCTGATAAAGTACACTGGCAAAAAAAAGTTGTGATAACATCATCCATAATGGTGAAAGGCTGAAGCTTTCTTATTCACTTGTTTAAAAGGAAGAACAAGGCAGAACATCCACTTTTACTGGTTTTGTTCAACACTGTATTGGAAATTCTAGTCAGTTCAATAAGGTAAGAAATAAAAGGAATGCAGATTGTGAAGGTAAAAATAAACTTTCATTTGCATTATTTTCTTTATAGAAAATCTGATGGAATCTACAAAAAGCTATTAAAACTAAAAAATGAGTTTGGAAAGGCTGTGTGACAATACCATCAATAAACAATAATACACAGCATAAAGCAGCAACAAAGAGTTATAAATTGAAGTTTAAACATAACATACTTACATATGAAATAGGAAAGAATGAATTAACCAGTATGTTCAAGATCTCTGCAGTGAAAACTAAAAATATTACCAAGAAAAAATAAAGAGGGTGTACATAAGTGGAGAGCTGCATTATACTCATGAGTTAGATGCCTAAACGTTACTGTCCAGCCAATTTTTCCCAGAAGATCCATGGATTCAGTGCTGAATTAGTTGGCATTCAAACAGGCTTTGGCACAGATATTGACAAGCTGATTCTAAAAATTATGTGGAAATGTAAAGAAGTTTACAAAGCCAAGCCAATTTTGTAAAGAACAAAGGTGATGGGGTGAATGCTACCTCAATTCAAGATATTCCACAGCTGTTGTAATCAAGATAATGTGGTAGTGATATAAACAGATCAATAATCCAGAATCCAGAAATACAGCCACACATATACTGACAGCTTATTTCCTGGATTTTTAAAGATTTCTTTTCATTTATTTGAAGGGCAGAGTTATGGAGGTGGGGAGGGGGAGGAGAGAGAGAGATAGAGAGAGAGAGAGAGAGAGAAATAGAGAGAGAAGTAGAGAGAGAAACAGAGAGAGAGAGAGATCTTTCACCTGTCACTGGTTCACTCCTCAAATAGCCACCAACAGAGCCAGGCCAAAGCCAGGATCCTGGATCCGTCTGGATTCTGAGTGTCCCACGGGAGTAGCAGGGGTCCAAGTATTTGTGCATCTTCCTGGTGCATTAGTAAGGAGCTGAATGGAAAGTGGAGCAGTTGGGACTTGAATTGGTGCTCATATGGTATGCCAGTAAGGCAGGTAATGGCTTTACCTACTCTGCCGCAATGCTGGCCCTGGACAAATCACTTTCAAAATAAGTATTCACATCCAGTCAGTTCAGACAGGATTCCTTTTAAATAACCAATGTAAGAACAATTTGGTATGGGCCCGGCGCCGTAGCCTAGTGGCTAAAGTCCTCGCCCTGAACACGCCAGGATCCCATTTGGACGCCGGTTCTAATCCCAGCAGCTTCACTTCCCATCCAGCTCCCTGGCTTGTAGCCTGGGAAAGCAGTTGAGGACGGCCCAAAGCTTTGGGACCCTGCACCTGTGTGGGATACCCAGAAGAAGTTCCTGGCTCCTGGCTTTGGATCGGCTCAGTTCTGGCCATTGAGCTCACTTGGGGAGTGAACCATCGGACGGGAGATCTTCCTCTCTGTCTCTTTTCCTCTCTATATACCTGACTTTCCAATAAAAAAAAATAAATCTTTAAAAAAGAAAAAAAGAACAATTTGGTATGAAAATGCATAAAAAGAAGTGATTTTTGACCTAAACTTCATACCATACATAAAAACTAATTCAAAACACAGCTAAGGGTTAAATATAAAATCTAAAATTATAAAACTACTCCAAGGGGATGTAGGAGAACATCTCTGTGATTTTTGGTTGACAGATTTACTATGTTTCATTTGTAAAGAAACACAATCTGTAAATTGGACTTTGTCAAAATAAGAGAATAATTTGATCTCCAAAGGCTACAACTAAGAAAATAAAATGGCAAATCAGAGATTGGGAAGCACCTGAAAATCCCGCACATGATAAAGAACATATTTAAAATATACA